GAAGAGGCCGAGGCCCGAGGTCCGAGACCCGAGGCCGACGCCCGAGTGATGCGAGAACTCCGAAAATACCCGAGAAGCGGAAAGGTGCCAAAGGGCAAAGAAGCGGTGGCTGAAGAATCCAAAAAGGAGGAAGAGGCAAGGCCGATGCCGGAGTGATCCAGGAGCTCCGAAAATAGAACCCAAGTGGATCAGAGATCAAAATCCAAAAGGAATCGACAAGGTGCATACCCGAGGCATTGAGATGACCAAAGGCTCCAAAAGGAGGAAGGGGCCGAGGCCAAGGACTCCAAAAGGAGGAAGAGGCCAAGGCCGAAGGTCACGTGATCTGGAGATGGTCCAAGTCGGATCGGAGATTGGAATCCAAGGGAATCAGTGAAGCGAATGCCAGTGATGTCAAAGATGTCGAAATAGCAAATCCTGAGGAGGGATGATTGGCCCGGATCAGCGGAGTTTGCGGAACATCGGAGGGCACCAGAGAGGAAGTAAAGTCGAAGTATGAAAGGACGTCCGGAGATCTAAATATAGATCCCGAGTCGAGGTGAAGATGAAGACGGAGGAGGACTCAGTCCATGAGTGGAAGCATGGAACAACATTAAATTTTCCAGATGGTGTACAGGACAAGTGTACGGAATATTTATACTAAGTGATAATTATGTACGGCCATAAAGTCCATTTCTATATTGAGTAATCAGAAACGGAAGAAGCTGCAAGTGAAATGTGCGGAGCAGTGAAGACCGCAAATGAGTAAAATAAGATGAAGTGAAAGATGAATAAACAGGAAACACTCAGTAAACCTTCATTGCGTAAAAACATGGAGGTCCGAAATCTCGGAGGATCCCGGAACATTGGCCTGGAGCTCCGGAACGTCGGAGCGTCGGACAGTCGGAAAGCTTCGGAAGCTCGAATGCTGCACAGATGTAACAGGAACTAAGTGCACAAATGCAGACTTGCACAAGTGCACAACTGCAGAACTGCAAAACTGCAAAACTATGGGACTGCAAAACTGTGGAACTGCACAAATGCGGAACTGCACAAGTGTGAAACTCAGAACTGCACAACTGTGGAAGTACACAAATGCAGAACTGCAGAACTGCACAACTGCACAACTGCACAACTGCAAAACTGCAAAACTGCACAACTGCAAAACTGCAAAACTGTGGAACTGCGGAACTGCACAAGTGTGAAACTCAGAACTGCACAACTGTGGAAGTACACAAATGCAGAACTGCACAACTGCACAACTGCACAACTGCACAACTGCACAACTGCAAAACTGCAAAACTGCACAACTGCAAAACTGTGGAACTGCGGAACTGCACAAGTGTGAAACTCAGAACTGTGGAACTAAGTGCACAAATGCAGACTTGCACAAGTGCAGAACTGCACAAGTGTGGTACTGCAGAACTGCGAAACTTCACAATTGTGGAACTGCACAACTGGTCAGAAGGCTGCTGCAGTTGCACAGTCTAGTACCGGTAGTCCCTTGCCTGTCTCCATGCAGCTGCTTACCACTTCGATTGAATTGATTTCACTGATTCTTGATGAGGGCTGCCGCCACAAGGAGAAAGCTGGTGAATCTGCGGGAGGATCATCAGCAATGTTCTCGCACAATAAAGAGAATAGTTCCAATGAAACTTGCTTCAACTGTAAGATGCTTAGCCACCGTGTAAAGGATTGCTTTGCAAAAAGAGGTGGGAAGGAGGGCCAGTATCTGAAGCATTGGAACAAGAAGTCCAAAGGAAAGGACAACAAAGGTATGCATACAGCAAATGTTGGTACTGACCAGTTCGAGTCCAAAGAGGATGAACCGTATTTCTCCTTCATAGCCAAGCCCCCTTTTGATTCACATCTCCCGGTAGGTGCATGGCTCGCTGATTCCGGATGTACAACACATATTGCAAAGAACCTGGATTTCTTCACAGATTTTGCGCCGGTTGAAGGTGAGATAATCAAGGGACTCAGGAACAATAAAATCAAGGCTCTGGGAAAGGATATAAATTCCTGGTATTCATGGCATAAGCGGTACGGACACATCTCCAACTCGACATTGGAATTCCTTGTGAAGAAGGGAACTGTTGATGGACTCACCATTAATCCGGACAGTGCAACACTTGGGCAGTGTGAGACCTGCATAAAATCCAAGATGCATCGAAAGTCCTTCCCCCACAAAATTCTAGTCGATCTGAAACAAGAGGTGAAGGTGTTCATAGTGACCTTTGGGGTCCTGCCCACACGATGTCCACCGAGGGGCAATTACTATTACATCTCTTTCACAGATGATGCGACACACCGGATTACAGTTCTGTTTTTGAAGATGAAGGATCAGGCCAAACAGAAGGTCATGGACCACATTGAATGGCTAGAACAGCAATACAAATGTTAGCCGAAATGGATCCGAGTCGACGAGGGCCGCGAATATTTGAACAAAATGTTGAAGGATGCACTTACAATGAAGGGCATTGAGCTTCACAGTGTGGCCCTTTACTCACAGTCCCAAAACGGTGTGGCAGAGCACTGGAATCACACATTAGTGGAGCTCACCAGGGCTATGTTGGAAGAGAAGGACTTGCCAAGAAGCTTATGGGAATGGGCTGTCCATCATGCCGCTTATATTCAAAATCGGACACCAACAAAAGCTTTACCGTGTGGAATCACCCCTCATGAAGCCTTTACACATGAAAGGCCGAATGTTTCTCATTTTCAGGAGTTTGGGATCAATGTCGGAATCTTTCAAGAGGTTCAGAAAGCAGGTAAATTATATGGACATGCTCACAAATTTATACAGGGTATGTGAGAGCTGTACATGCGTTGCATGTGCCCTCGCGCCACTGCATGACTCCAGACGAGCCAATCACCTAATTCAGAATCTCAAGAAATTGGATTCAGAAACTCGCCATGGCCGTGTTTTCACCTATGCATCTTTCCTCGACCACGACCATGGCAGGGGTTACGCCCCAAACCGACTCACCAGTGATAAGCTGCAAAATTTACCATTCTTCAAAATGTGCTGTATTAGCCATTTAGGCCTAGGATCAGCCAATGGGAGTAATATCCCGATACCAGATGACCTACCGGATACCTATATATACCCGTGGTAGTGTAATCATATATAATTTGTAGTATAAAAGTAGGACGTTCTGAAGGGGAAGGGCACTGAATCTCGACCCAAGCTAGTGTGGAAGGCTAACACCATTGCCCCTTCCCACGCGCGACAGGTCTTGGTTGAGGGCTCTACTCTGAGGACTCTGCTATTCAGATGGTGGTCCCGTGAAATAGAGTTTCTTTGATTGATAACTGGGGAATTTGGGATTGCGCAGGTCTTATAAGACAGTCCTGAGTACGATAGCGCAGGTCTTATCAGAAGGTCCTGAGTACGATTGTGCTGGTCTTATTAGAAGGTCCTGAGTATGGAATAACGGGATTTGTGTCCAAAACCCGAACTTCAGTTCAAACAACTTGCCGGCCTTCCAGCCATTACCTGCGCTATAGCTGAGAAGCTTAAATCTAAAACCACGTCCCACTCGGTTTCAATCTTGACGCTGTCAAATTGTTACTTGAACCAAGTGTTTCGTTGAGAAAGTTCCTCTTTGAGTTACTTTCTACAGTACCAAGTCAACCCGAGAAATCTCGACTTAGAGCTCCTTTAGACCTATACTTGTGTCTAAAAAGACCCTAACTTGTCAGACAACCATTGGTGCAATACAAGAGGTGTTTATTGTTTGGAATCCAGTATTTTGAGTAGTTGGAGTTGGACTTTCTTGCTCATTTGAGTTGTGTCCAATCTCAATCACTCGAAAGTTGGGTTTTGTTCATTTTGCATTTTGCAGCCTTTGACTCTGAGCAACCGTTTCACTGGACGATCGGGCGCTCTGCCTCGACTTCGCTCATGGATAACACCATGCCCCAACAACTTGCCATATTCCACCACCGCACGTTGTGAGGGCTGTACATGTGTTGCATGTGCCCTTGCGCCACTGCATGACTCCAGACGGACCAATCACCTAATTCATAAAACTCAAGAAACCAGATTCGGAAACACACCACAGGCGTGTTGCACTTATGCATCCTTCCCCGACCACGACCACGGCGGAGGTTACGCTCCAAGCCAACTCGACTCCTGGTGTTCCACCTTGACAGATGACATCGCGCCCCAGACTACTTGCCATTTCCACTGCGGCAGATTACACGCAGTTCCACCCCCCTTTCCATGCAATTTCCCGGCCACTGCTCAGTATCCAGGGGACGGCCATCCTTGACTGTCAACCACCCTGGAATTTGTGATTTGCACCCCAGATCTGCCTTCACCTTGCAATTCACGCAGGTGTCCACTCCATTTTCACATTTCCACAACCAGATTCATCTTCACCTTGCGATTTGCGTGGGTGTTCACTTCATTTCTCACATCCTCACAGCCACATGAAACACATCCCGGCCATTGCTCTCGCAAGCCACCGCCATGGATTCATTCCACCACCGTGTTTTTCTACTTTTCGGTGCTGGAAGCTGCCTTCCATGCACATATGCATGCTTCACTGTTTTACAACTGGAAGGATGTCTCAGACCCGATTCCATCGGATGGAGCAGGAGCCCGAAGGCTGTACAGGCTGGGGTATAAAAGGGAAGGACTTTTGGCACTGTAGGATATATGACTCTTGTATAGGGATCCCCCCTGCTCGACTCTGAGTGGTCCTGTACTCTCAACTAGAGTTGAATCACACCGGGGGCAAAGACCGAGGCACCTGACCGCTGTGAGCCATCACATTGTGATAGCTCCTGACAGAGCCAAAAAGGTGAAACTCCAAAGGTCACTCTGCCATACGTCCGATATCTTAGTACAACTTGAGCAAGATGACCAGAAAGCCCGACAAAGAATTGAACTCCGAACCTGCGTGTTACTGTTACACCACCAAGTAGAACTCCGAGAGCACAATATTTGACGGTTCAACGACGACATCTCCGTAAACAGCATAACCCAGAATACGGATTGAACAAAAACACTAAGGCCCAATGAAGAATTGAACTCCGGACCCTCCGCAAAGCCTTTGCAGCAAACACAACCAGTCTTACGGAGTACGTTACCATTACGCCACCGAGCCGGTTCAATGTCGTCGCCTTTCACGGATGTCTGCCTGTATAAAAAAACATTAAGGTCTGACGAAGAATTGAACTCCGGACCCTCTGTAAAGCTGATAACAGCACACACAACCAGTCTTACAGAGTATGTTACCATTACGCCACTGAGCCGTTCAATGAGTCGTCTTTCAAGATACAATCTTCTGGTTATCGTCTGACAGAATAAAAACACTAAGGCCTGATGAAGAATCGAACTCCGGACCCTCCGTGAAGATTTAACCGGACCCTACCAGGTTTACAGAGTGCGTTGCCACTATGCCATCAGACCTTAAAAGAACGACCCGGACTTGGATGAGGTCATGACTGAAGCAACAACTCCGCCCTCTCGAAAAACATTTCTGACGTAAACACGGCCCGGCGGAGAATCGAACTCCGAACCCTCCCTTATTCAGTTTCCCGCCAGTTATTCAAATGGAGTGTGTTACCGCTATTCCACCGGACCACGAACATACCCTCTTCGGACTCCGTGCAATGCAAAAGATCGGTAGCCTGTCTATGAAAAAACTCTTTAATTATCCATGAAATGGCTTGATGAAGGATTGAACTTCGGACTTCCTGCGGAGGTGTTTGTGCAAGAACCAAGACAGGATGTGTTACCAGCTACGCCATCGAACCATGCTATCTCAGGGACGGAGATTCGAAGATTATACGTCGTGGCGGGGCTGGCAAGAAACTCCGGGTAACAAAAAGTGGATAGCACGAGAGAAGGGCTCGACACAGGATTGAACTCCAAATCTCTCCATAATCAAACACTGGGGTGACATTGACACAGAGTGCATTTACCGTTACACTATCGAGCCGCTACAGGTGGAAATCGGATCGGAGGAGAAGCTAGGGCAGAAAAGGTGTATCTGGGAATAGGGCGACGAACCCGGACCACGGAGTTGGTGCCTGGCCAGGAACGGCACGGAGATAGGTTCATGGAGTCCGAAGTGACTCACAGGTGAACTCCGGATGGAGAAGCGTGTGAGCGAAGTGGATTGGGACACAAAGGAGCAAGTCCTGCACAGCATTAGGCTGGGAGTATAAATACAACAGCTCGTCTACCAAAATATCATCTCAGTTTCGGCCCACATTCTCAGCCTCTAAGCCTTAGCCAGCTTAGGGGTAGCTAAAGTCCTCTGAACATCACCAAGAGGTCACCCAGAGTCGAGTTATACAGTAAACGACCTCCGGCACTCCCTTGCCGCTGTCAGACAGCAATCAGAGTTTCACTCAACATAATTTCAGCATCAATTATCGAACCAACCACTCCTCCCCTACGTTAGTAGGGCAGTGGATTCTCTCGAGCAGCACAACAAAGTCTTCGGAGTTCGTGTGTCGCTGCTAGCTAAGGAAGTTGGCGGTAAGGAGCCCGCAGAAGTTGCCTTCAGCAAGTGAACAGGTTGGGAAAATAGAGAGAGGAAACTCCGTAGAGGCATAAAGAGGGGTAGAAAGGAGGAGAAATCTGCAGAATGGTACAGCGGACGCATAATTCCCCCGGCCTTATGATCTATAACCCAAATATACTTCGGAGGTCCGTGGTTCGTGGTCGAAGAAGCCCTTAAAACCCATATTCCCCCTCAGATATAGTGAATTGGACCCCACATCACCTTCTGGAGTTCCTCCTCCGAGGAAGTGTAGAACAGATTCAACCTCCGTTAACCCGAGAAGGCTAAACTAGGCATCGGAGTTCGCTCAGGTCACCCTAGCTAGCAGGATCTTGAACAAGTCGTTCAAATCCTTGTATGGATATCCCCACCAATATTATTTAAACCTCCCTACGTACTTGTCTTACAGCAACAGAACAAATTCCCCCTAGAGGATGAGCATTTAAACATAGCCCGGATCACCCCACCGTCTGGCACTTTGAAGCACCACAGTCCACATCACACCGCCAGGTGTGACCTACGCATGTGGCCGGCACTTGTCTTTGATCCTTTGATCAAATTACGAGTGAAATCAACTTATACACAAAAATGCATAAATTTATTTCCTGGTAATCTTTGTGATCTTTCACTGTAAACGTGAGGAAAACAATGTATTTGTCTTTGACATCTTATGTCTTTGAACTACTCTTTGACAGTCTTTGTGTTTGTAAGGTGGCTGTGGTCTTTACAACAGGTCTTTGTTTTGAGCAGAACAGCCTTGCCCCATTTGCCAACTTTGTCGTGGATCTCAGTGTCATGAATCCTCGGCACGTGGGAAATTTGCCAAGCGTGAAAACAGGGTGGGTGTTACCAGATGTGGTGGTGCTGTACGCTGATGTGGCACCTGGAGGACAATGGTGAGTGAGCTGGAGTGGCTCTACGGATGCAGGAACACCACTGGAGGGACGGTGGGGGTGAGTGAGCATCCATGTTGGGAGACGTGAGGAATCGCTGGGGATCCACGATCAAGAGATGGAGATCTCTGATTGGCGGGCAGAGGCAATATAAACAGCAGACTTGTTCAAAAAGTGGAACCTCACCACTTAAAGATGGGGAGAAAGAGTCTTGAAGGCACCAGAAAGGAACAAGTAGGCCAGAGTATATTCAACAAGAAGTGGGATATGTATCACAAGATGGAAGTCAAGAGCAAGAAATGCACGTGACATGAGTAACGAGGAACAAATCGGTGATCATGAGTAATCAGGAGGTTAAAAAGAGGCATCTTATGTGTATACTTCACCCTGTGCAGTTCTGAGTTCCACACTTGTGCAGTTCCGCATTTGTGCAGTTCCACACTTAGGCAGTTCCACAGTTTTGCAGTTTTGCAGTTCTACAGTTGTGCAGTTTTGCAGTTTTGCAGTTTTGCAGTTCTGCAGTTCTGAGTTCCACACTTGTGCAGTTCTGCACTTGTGCAGTTCCACAGTTTGGCAGTTTCACAGTTCTGCAGTTCTGCAGTTTGGCAGTTTCCAGCACTCTGCCACACCGTTTTGGGACTGTGAGTAAAGGGCCACACTGTGAAGTTCAATGCCCTTCATTGTAAGTGCATCCTTCAACATTTTGTTCAAATATTCGCGGCCCTCGTCGACTCGGATCCATTTCGGCTAACATTTGTATTGCTGTTCTAGCCATTCAATGTGGTCCATGACCTTCTGTTTGGCCTGATCCTTCATCTTCAAAAACAGAACTGTAATCCGGTGTGTCGCATCATCTGTGAAAGAGATGTAATAGTAATTGCCCCTCGGTGGACATCGTGTGGGCAGGACCCCAAAGGTCACTATGAACACCTTCACCTCTTGTTTCAGATCGACTAGAATTTTGTGGGGGAAGGACTTTCGATGCATCTTGGATTTTATGCAGGTCTCACACTGCCCAAGTGTTGCACTGTCCGGATTAATGGTGAGTCCATCAACAGTTCCCTTCTTCACAAGGAATTCCAATGTCGAGTTGGAGATGTGTCCGTACCGCTTATGCCATGAATACCAGGAATTTATATCCTTTCCCAGAGCCTTGATTTTATTGTTCCTGAGTCCCTTGATTATCTCACCTTCAACCGGCGCAAAATCTGTGAAGAAATCCAGGTTCTTTGCAATATGTGTTGTACATCCGGAATCAGCGAGCCATGCACCTACCGGGAGATGTGAATCAAAAGGGGGCTTGGCTATGAAGGAGAAATACGGTTCATCCTCTTTGGACTCGAACTGGTCAGTACCAACATTTGCTGTATGCATACCTTTGTTGTCCTTTCCTTTGGACTTCTTGTTCCAATGCTTCAGATACTGGCCCTCCTTCCCACCTCTTTTTGCAAAGCAATCCTTTACACGGTGGCTAAGCATCTTACAGTTGAAGCAAGTTTCATTGGAACTATTCTCTTTATTGTGCGAGAACATTGCTGATGATCCTCCCGCAGATTCACCAGCTTTCTCCTTGTGGCGGCAGCCCTCATCAAGAATCAGTGAAATCAATTCAATCGAAGTGGTAAGCAGCTGCATGGAGACAGGCAAGGGACTACCGGTACTAGACTGTGCAACTGCAGCAGCCTTCTGACCAGTTGTGCAGTTCCACAATTGTGAAGTTTCGCAGTTCTGCAGTACCACACTTGTGCAGTTCTGCACTTGTGCAAGTCTGCATTTGTGCACTTAGTTCCACAGTTCTGAGTTTCACACTTGTGCAGTTCCGCAGTTCCACAGTTTTGCAGTTGTGCAGTTTTGCAGTTTTGCAGTTGTGCAGTTTTGCAGTTTTGCAGTTGTGCAGTTGTGCAGTTGTGCAGTTGTGCAGTTCTGCATTTGTGTACTTCCACAGTTGTGCAGTTCTGAGTTTCACACTTGTGCAGTTCCGCAGTTCCACAGTTTTGCAGTTTTGCAGTTGTGCAGTTTTGCAGTTTTGCAGTTGTGCAGTTGTGCAGTTGTGCAGTTCTGCAGTTCTGCATTTGTGTACTTCCACAGTTGTGCAGTTCTGAGTTTCACACTTGTGCAGTTCCGCATTTGTGCAGTTCCACAGTTTTGCAGTCCCATAGTTTTGCAGTTTTGCAGTTCTGCAGTTGTGCACTTGTGCAAGTCTGCATTTGTGCACTTAGTTCCTGTTACATCTGTGCAGCATTCGAGCTTCCGAAGCTTTCCGACTGTCCGACGCTCCGACGTTCCGGAGCTCCAGGCCAATGTTCCGGGATCCTCCGAGATTTCGGACCTCCATGTTTTTACGCAATGAAGGTTTACTGAGTGTTTCCTGTTTATTCATCTTTCACTTCATCTTATTTTACTCATTTGCGGTCTTCACTGCTCCGCACATTTCACTTGCAGCTTCTTCCGTTTCTGATTACTCAATATAGAAATGGACTTTATGGCCGTACATAATTATCACTTAGTATAAATATTCCGTACACTTGTCCTGTACACCATCTGGAAAATTTAATGTTGTTCCATGCTTCCACTCATGGACTGAGTCCTCCTCCGTCTTCATCTTCACCTCGACTCGGGATCTATATTTAGATCTCCGGACGTCCTTTCATACTTCGACTTTACTTCCTCTCTGGTGCCCTCCGATGTTCCGCAAACTCC